TGCATACACTAGAATACCTACTCAATGAGGTACACCAACACTCCTAACTTCAAGAGCACCATGATCAGATTCATAATCTTTCAGATTTCTCTTCTTCAACCGAACTTTCCTAGAAGCAGAATTAGTCTTAGTCAAATGTGTCAACATCTCAATCAAGTGACTAACCTGACTAGGAAGTCAAACCTAGGTCTTGTGTGACCAAGCTCACCACAATTATGACACAGGATAAACCTATGTCCAAATGTACGTGGTTGCCAATATTGATTTCTGGGCTGATTGGTCCTACAATGTCTATAGGCCTCTGTTCTAAGATACTCTTGTTCTTGGATTCAGGATTTGCAACACACTTAGGTTGGTTGGTGGCAGGAACAAAAATGATCTTGGAAGTTCTAACAGTATTATGATCAATCTGCTTATATCCTAAACATCTCCTATTCCCAATGAGCTTTTTAACCTAAAAGATTGTCAAGTTTAAATCCATTCAAGAAGGAATGAAGTTGAGCATTAAATTTCTCGAGGCTGCTTGTTAGGGTATTAACCTTGGTTTCTAGGTTGACTAGTCTTAACTCTCTAAGGCTTTAGGTAAGCTCCTGATGGTCAAATATAAGTCTATCTCTCTAACTCAAGCTTACTCTTAAAGGCAGCATTATTTACCATTTTTGCGGATTTCTTTAATTTATTTTTTGATTCTATCAACTCCAAACTATTTTTACAATAACTTGAACTTTAATAAACCTATTCTTACATTATTATTAATTTCTAATACAATTCAAATAAAAAATGATTTTGACATAAAAATTTGCCAATTACAATTTTAGACTTAACACAAAAGGTTGAGAGACTTTGCCTTTGAATTTTGGATCGTAAAAGCAACAGTGGTTTTGATAAATTCTCTCAAACAATTTTATTGCATATTGAGTTTAAATCTCTTTCTAATTCGTGTAAAATGTAAGCTTCTTCTATATACCTTTTGACGATATTTCAAATAATTTTGACTCGTATTTTTATTGGTCTTTGTGCGTTTTCAACACGTGGTAACAATCTCGAGATTGGATGGAATTTAATGTATAAAAGGTAGAAAAGAAGAATTGGCATGTTTCTTTTTAAATCTTTATGATGTACTCAAAACTCGAATATTCATTATTGTGTGATTCGATTATGAACAAAATGTGCTAGTTAAGGCAGACGATGTAACTTAGTCTTGATAGTTTATTTTCAATTTTCACATTTTGACTTCAAGTAGGCTTTTAGTTTTCATTCTTTCAACTGATTGACAAAGTGTTGTTTCTGGAGTTTGAAGTTACTCCTTCGAAAAACAATCCGACAGAATCATCTGAATGTAATAATTGATCAACAGGATCCAAAATTGTAATTCGAGCCCACCGATTTTACGATATTTCCTTAAAACGAATTTGCTACCTTTAATGGTGTTAAAAACGTCCAGCAATCGTTTCCCATGATAGAACGAATTTTCGTCTTCTACGGAAGCAGCACTGCAATTTGCAGAAGTTCCAACGAACTTAACGAAGTGTGTTTTACTTCGAGACAATATCAGAACGAGAGAGAGAGTGAAATGAGATTCAAAGCACAGAAAGTTTGCAATGAAAATGGTGTTTTTTCTGGTAGAAAGGCTGGCTATTTAAAGACTTGTTCGTGGCCATTCATCACCTTTCAGACAAGCCTCAAAAATTCGAACAAACATGCTGTTCTTAAAAGTCGTGTCTGTTAAGTCGGTTAACAGTCGGCTAACAGTCGACTGTTTGGTCGGTAAACAGTCGACTGTTTGGTCGGTAAACAATCGACTGCTAAAAGAAAATAAAACACCCGAAATAAACCAAAATTTAAATTTTATATTGTACCCAAGAATTTGATTATTTATAATTTGGCCCAAAACTTTAAATAAATTTTGTCCAAAAAGTTAATATAGTGTAAAGGTCCACCCGCACCGAACCGGATTCGAGCCGTGCCGGCCGGCCGGTCGGACGGCGGCGCGCGCGTGTGGGTTTATGACCGAACCCAATAGGATATAGGTCTTCCCCCTTCCAAAAACTATTGGTACCCCTTGGAGCCCAAACCCAATTCCAAACTTCCACCTTATAAACCACACCAAAGTTTCCTAACTTTCCCCCTTCCAAAGACTATTGGTACCCCTTGGGGCTCAAACCTAATTCCAAACTTCCACCTTATAAACCACACCAAAGTTTCCTAACTTTCCTATGTGAGATAAGTGTTTGGAAAATCAAATTCTTCCATAATCCTTAGTTTATGCGGGTTAATTTAACACTTAATATTTCATTCAATTTTAAATGATTTTCGATAAATAAATATATCACGTTAATCATCTCGCGAAGTAGAACGTGAATATGTTAGGTCCTGTATTAATTAAAAGGTGGGTCCCACTGAAATTTGGGCTCAAAGTTGACCTATTAACCATTTTTTCCAACACAAAGATGTGAAATACGCATTATTATCTCTTGTAGCTTAATTTAGATAGGAGATAAAATTATATTCTTCTAGCTTGAGTGGTCGAATGTGAATTTTTTTATTTAAAGAAGCATTTATAAGATATTTGATTTTATAATTCAGAGATTATCCAATAGGCTATGTAATTATGTCAAGTACGTAATTGCATATTGTCAAAACTTGAGAAAATGAAATTAGACAAGATTTCCGTTTGATATCCATTTTTATAAGAATGAGAATGAAAAATATAGTCGTTACGAGATCCACACAAGAGATAGAAAGTCAAATATATATGATGATTTGATGTGATGGATAACGGTCATATTTTTTTATTTTTGTGGCCAAAAAATAAAAATCAAACGGGGGCTAAATATGGTAAAATCGTAAGCCATTAATCTCATTCGCAAATCACATATTTTATTACCTATTTATTTTATGTTTCACCGACCATTGACGATGTCTTTAACGATGTAACAACAGAAACTCCAAATGATTGCCGTCCATTATCTTAAGATACGACATAGGTTTAAGGTTGCTGAATTGACTTTATATTACTTAGGATTGCCGTCATTTATTGGAAGAGACAACCTAGGTTTTCAACAAGGTTGCTGAGAGAGAGAGAGCAAGGAAAGTGCATTGCGATTCTTTCTTGCCCTTGCAAGGATTACACAAAAGGTAATTTTTATTTTCAGAAGTTATACATGTCTTATTTGAACAAGTCTGATGTCTTCTTGCCTCCAATGAACGAGCTAAAAACTTTCCATTGCTAATATGATTTGAAAAGAGAGTAATTAACTGCCTGATTTTTAAAGAGATACCAACGACCATTCTTGCTAATTTGCCGGATTTTAGAAAAAAAGCATGTAAATATTTTAAAACCATGCACTATGAGTAATTGATATGCATTTCACCCTAATCGAGCAGTTTGTACTTTCTTTTGGTATTTCACAGTATTCCCGGAAATGGATTCCTTGATGAGAAGAGAATTCAAATCAAGAAAGAAGGAAACAGAAACAAATTTCTTGAAAAATGGTAGTGCACTACTCGAAGAGCTTATTACTACTTTCAGTCCCAGATATAAGATTCCTATACGTAACTTCAATGCCGAAGAGATCATTAAGGCCACAAATGGCTTTGCCAAGAGTCTTAACATTAGCAATTTTGATGGGAGTATGTACACGGGTTTTCTTGAAAATCGACCAATTTTAGTAAAGAAGTTTCAAGGTAGTGATTCAAGTATTGTGCATCGTATTATTCGCGATGTAGCAATTAATTCACAGATGAGCCACCACAAGAACGTTTTGAAGTTGATTGGTTGTTCTTTAGAGTTCGAGTATCCAGCTCTAGTTTACAATTTTTGTCGAACCCAACTTCTCTCTAATCTACTTTTTGCATCCGACAGTGCATTACCCTGGAAAAACAGATTGAAAATAGCGAACGACATTGCAAATGTAGTCGTCTATCTTCATACTGCATTTTCCACTCCTATCATTTTCAGGGATCTAAAACCAAGAAAAGTCATCATAGACGAGCACGGTGTTGCTAAACTGTTCAGCTTCTCCCTTTGTATATCTCTTCCTCCCGGTGAAATGCAAGTTAAAGATATCGTTTGTGGATCAGTCGGGCACCTAGATCCTGCATATGCTTCATCGGGCATTGTTACTCAGAAAACAGATGTATTTAGCTTTGGCGTTTTACTGTTAGAACTATTAACGGGACGAAGAACTTTGAGCACGGATGATGAAGATTTCTCACCTCTCTTACATGGTGTAATTAAACACATTGGCAAGGATGAGTTTGATGAAATTGTGGATCCTAAAATTTTAGAAGCGTACGGAGGAGTCGAAGAAATTCAGCAAAAAATAGCTTTTCTATATCTTGCTTTGAGATGTGTCGATCCAGAGGAAGATGACAGGCCATTTATGATTGATGTAGCAAAAGAACTTAGAAAAATTGAGAGGAGTCCTCATCAATTATCTCCACAAAGAACAATGAAGAACACTATAGTAGATTATTCCTCGAGAAAATATTCTTGGCTTCAGCGAAATTAGAGATGATATGTCTAGACCACTCTGTGGTGGAAGGGGGTTGGGGCATGGTGGGGCAAGTGACCAACCAACGTTTTGATTTTTTTTTAATTTAATAAAATTTTATTTTATTTTTAGGCTTGGCCTTTGAAAATTGTTTATATGAGTAATTTTGTTTCATAAGTACTATGTCATTTCTTGACTAAGCTTAAAAATTATTCAATCACTCGATCAAAATGTAAGTTGAGACCTATTTTTCAAAAAATCCTTTTGTTAAGTAACTTTTATATTTTAGCCAAATATAACTTGTAAACTATCATATTGAGTTCCACTTAACTTAGAAAATATGTTTTTAAAATATTTATAAATAACTGAATACGCCTACATTTATCCAATATTATTTAATGCAACACTGCCTATAGTTCAAAATGTTGGCTTCATCGAAAATTCTAGATAATCTAGGTATATGTTCTCTTTGATTTTCATTCTCTTTCATTCACTAAATTCTTTCAATTCAAGCAAAGATTATGCTAGAGGCTTGATGTTTTTTACTCACAGAATCATTGGCTTAGCTTAGTTGAATCGTTGTGATTTTAGTATGGTATTATTGTAGGACAATTAATTGGAGAACTGAATTTGTTTACAAATTTATGAAGGATACCTACTATTCTCAAAAAGAATACTTTCATTATCTATGACACGATCCGTTCCGAATCACCGTAATAGACTGGACATGTGTCATGTGCCGATGGTAGATACCAACTAAGTGTCAGATGGTGGATCAAGGAAACTTTGACTTGTTTGACTGTCACGAAATTTTAAAAGAACTTTGACAGAATTTTCCTTGAAATGTGAACTAAAACCTCTTGAACAATAAGCAATTTCCTCAAATCAATACCTATTATATAAATCAGGGTACGCCAGTCCCTCAAAATACAAACTATTCAAATAAAATTCTAGCAAATCAATATTTATTTGCTTTACGACCAACAATCTTCAAATGTACTAAAGATACCAAATATGGAGTGAACTCATGAACTTTTCTGATTTAAGTTATATGTAACCCAAAAGAACGCATACTGTATAATCTGATAAAGAATGTCATACAACCTATGATGCGTGGCTCAATTTGGTGGATTGACAGGCTCCAATACAGCTTAACTCGACTGCTAATTGGTAAAGAAAAAGGTAAAAAGAAATATGAGCTTACAGCTCAGTGAGTAGATAATTTGTAAATAAGTATACCTTTTCTTTTATGCATATTTTTTGAAAATTCTAACTATATTAAAACTTTAAGAAATTCTGAAATCTAATAACACTTTTAAAACTAAACATAATTTCATCATAAAATTCTTTGCTCTCAATTCTAGATAAACAATTGTAAAGTATAATGACATAAATAATCTGATATCCATGAAAATATATGAAATATTGCTACTGCTCAATACTATAAGCTAAAAGCTTTATTCTAAAAATTGAATTAACTGAATTCTATAATTTAAAATATGATAAGCTGTAGAAATACTGAAAAATTACACCAAAAAGGTACCCAATGAATATCGTTACTCATGTACAAAGTAAACTCGATGCACAAGGCAAAGTCATTCCAATTTGATAATCTGGTCATACGTACGCAGAGCTACCCTAAAGGCTAATCACCCCAGTCGACAGCCCAAAGCCTATATGTGTACGAGAATAGGTCCCCAAGACATTTCATAATTTGGTCATACACTATGAAAACACATTCACAATAGTACAAAGAGGGTAAAATCACCATAACTGGTCATATATTGTGGAAACACATTCACACTAGTATAGAACGGGTAAAATCACCATAGCTGGTCATACACTGTGGAAACACATTCACACTGGTACAGAACGGATAAAATAACCATAACTGATCATACACTGTGGAAACACATTCACACCAGTGCGGATTATGGTAAAATCACTTGGGTACTTTTTAGTGGTTTTAAAAATAACTATAATTATGCTGAAATATTTAATATTTATACAACTTGCTAATCAAATCATTTAAGTACTGAACTGAATTTAACTTAAAACAACTTATTATAAATCCACTTTATTCTAGAAATCATGCTATCAAATTAACTTTATAAAATAAGTAACTTCAAAATTCAATTAGCACTTATTTCTGAAAAATAAACTTTATCCACTCACTCTAATCAAGCAACTGGATATAATGGTCAATAATCTTTTTCAATCGTTTCGTTAACACCTTGGTACAAATAACCTTCTCAATTCAAAAATATTGGATTTAAAATATATTCCTTCCTACAATCTCTTTTCCTTCCTTTTTCATTTTCCTCTTCCTCCTTTTCTTTCCTTTTTTTTTTTTTTTCCTGCCGGTTTTTCTCCCTTTTTCTGCCCCAGTTTCCTGCTTTCTATATGTGTATGTATGTAATATGAAAAATGAAAGAAATGGCTAGCAAGGTGCCACTTGTAATCCACCAACTAAACCGTTTTGCTATCAAGTCCTCCAAACTTCACATGATATCTTCTTAAGTTATCTAACTTCTAATAATTAATATGTATTCCCCAATTTTAAATGATGTCATCTTAAACCTTCAGGTATCTTAAATCATAAAATAAACTCAATAAAATAATTTATTCCATTTAAGTGCCTAATTAACTTGACTTTGACTAATCGAACCTTTGACTTTAAATAAATAATATTGACATTTGACTAGTATAGAATGAGGTGTAACAATCTACCCATCTATAAAAAGAAAAACTGTATTCATCTGCTCTACATAATCCATGTTACTACCTTATTTCAAACTCAAGATAGTTTTGTTATGTATTCACGAAAAATTTGATCCGCATCACATATCACTAACTAGAGGAAAAAGAAACAAAAAAGTCAGTCAACTTAAGTTATTTTGTCTTTGAAATTTGAAAGATAATAAGTAGTCGACAATAACTTATAATTTCAAATTATTATTTTCTTTAACAAAAACTCAAAGTTATAGGAAAATGGGTTTGAATTACATTTATAAGGAGAGTTTGATTATCATTTTTCCTAAAATACATTTTTCTTTCTTTTCTTTTCAATCACATATTTTTCATTAAAATAATATCATGCATTAATAAAAAAAAAATCATTCTTTTTTAAAAACACACATTCTCCATTAATCTACTATTCAAAAAGAATGGGACACAAACACCTCTATAGTTTGTTTTTATTGTATTAAATTGATTTAGAATGGATTCGGAATGATTTATGTTTTTCACAGCCTTTTTGCAAGTTCAATTATACCCTTCAAACTCAAAATATATGTGTTTGCCACTCTTTCAAAATTATGTGACTTATCTTCAGTTCCATTGTCTCTCTCTATTTGCCCTCTGTTTGGTTGCCATTACCACTAATTATAAAATCAACCACAGCGTGCAATGGCTCTCATAACAGCGGCGATGACGCTGTGCACATAGAGAAAATTCTTAAAAAATAAAAATACTTCAAGCTTTTATTGGTTATTAAATTCTAAAATACATATTTAAATGAACAAATATCAAAACTTTCAATCCAATTCATTAACTTTTTTTTTTCTCATGCTTTAATTTGCCAACTTAATTTATTAGTTGTTTTTATTTTACATTTTTAGTGAAAAAAATATTGCAATATTCATCAGCTAAAAAATATATACATATATATCACTTGATAATATATTAAAATAAATTAATTTTATCTTACTGAATAATCAAATTCATATAATCAAATGTCATAAAATAATTTATGGAAATTTCAAACCAAACGTGTTTTCCAAATTTTCACTTAAAGTGCGTTTGATTGCCTTTTTTTCCACGGAAAATGTGTTTTTCATCCAAATTCCTACTTTTGTGCTCTTTGATTGCTTTTTTTTTCATAGAAAATATTTTCCCACTTTTGGTCACGGGACCATATTTTCCTCAAAATCAAGGAAAATATTTTATTTAGGAAGAGTAGAATTTTATTTTTCACGGAATTCACTCTCCCTTTCTCTCTCTTATTTATCCACTCTCTCTCATTAACCCGCCAATAAAAAAATGGACAAATATGATATTTTCTATGTTGAAAATTAAATCAATCAAACACATTTAATTGATAATTTTTATACAAATAAATTATAGGTAATTGAATTATCTAGAATTTATTTTCTTTCCATGCAAATTCCATTCTTATAATCAAATGCACCCTTAGAGAAATAATTTTTCAAAATAACAAAGCAAACACCTTTTTCAATAATCTTAAAATATGCTCTCAAAATAGAAACAATTTTTTTTTATTTAACTTTTACTTAAATTTCTTCAAAAATCGAGACAAAAAAATAATAATAATCTAATGTCACCACTGTAGATATATAATTTCAAAAGTACTGGTATTTAATTTATGCTAAATATTGATGAATATGTTCATAGGTCACGTGAGTTAAATGATTGAACAATTAATTGATTTGTCATCTTATCGATGATCAACTGCTAAACATCAATACTTAAAATATATATATGTGTGTGTGTGTCCTTGTGCGTATTTAAGTCGTCATTTAAATTCTTTTCGAACAAATCAAACAATTCCTTATTCACGTGGTTTTTTCCACCTCAACAATCTCCCCAGATTGATTATTTATATTTTCATTATAAAAACTGGTCACCTAAAGAAATTTTTTGTTTTTCCTATTAATTGATACGTTTGGGAATAGTATTGGATTTAAAGGACAAGATTATGAAGAATTAGATTAAGAAAGATTGTGCTATTGTACACCTTATAAATAAAAATTGATTAAAAAAAAAAAAAAAAGGTCTTGGCTATTTTTTTACTCATAATAAATTTTTTTAACTTAATAAGTGAAGTTTGTTTCTTCCAATTTATTTGCTCATAAATTTTTTCAATTAAAAGTAAATTGATATTTATTAATAATTTTTTTAACTTATAAGCGGCTTTTTTTTCTCTCATTTATGAGTTCTTTTTTACATTTAAATGAATATTTTTAACCTATTAATAAATTTGTTAACTTCTATATAAATTTCTAACTTCTACATGAATATTTTTACTATATATATAGTGTTTTTTTTTAAAATACTTATAAGGGATTTTTTTACATATTAAAAGTATTTGACTTTAAATAATTTATATTATAAGAGAATTTTTTAGTTATAAGAAATAAAATTTACTTGTATGCAAATTTTACATAAAAGTGGATTTTTTTGGTCTTATAATTGATTATGAGTAGTGATTTTTTTTTACTTTTAAGTAATATTTTGACTTAAAGTGAACTTTATTTATAAGCAGTATTTTTTTTTCCCTATGATTCATCATTTCAATTTCATGTAACAAATAATACGGTATAAAGAAATTTCATTGGATGAATTAATTATCGATCCAATTTTAACTATTGAATAGTGAATTCACCAATTACTTCTGAATGTGTAGCTATCCTTTGAAAAAAGAAACCTGTGGAAGAAATATATTTTCATAACCCTCTTAAAAGTTATTCGACTTCGGTGGCTCTCAGCTTTGCATATGTTGATCTGGAAATATGAGATCCAATAAATATCCGGCCACCTTCTCGTATAATTGCCTTCCTAGAACCTTTTTCGATCACCGGAGATCTGGGAGCAACTTCCATATGAGAGTTGCCGTCAATGAGGACCTAGGAGATGAAGAACAAGAATTTGGCTAGAGTGGAAACTCTGCTCACTTTCCTTGTGATTTTTGGATAAAATTATTTGTACAAAATTTGATTGACAAAATGATTTACTCACTCTCACATGCATGCGGGTCCCCCTGCATTAAAAAATTCGGTCATGTGATCCTTACAATTCTATTATGATTGTCTGTAAAACTTTTAGTATAAATGTGTTTGTACATGTAACATAACTCGTGATTTTTTGGGTTGGTTTATAATTTTCTCAATGCTATGGATTATTGGTCTTTTTGTATTTATTGGAAACATTTAACCTCGTAATTTGTCAGTACGTAATAAATTGTAATTTTAGATAGTTCTATGACACGTGATCTTTTTCTATTGGACTAGTTACTTTAAACAAGATTTTCTAAATCACATTTCCCACGTATTCTTCTAATTGTTTTGCCATGTGGCAGTTCCCTAATATTGCCACGTGATTTTGAGGTATTTGTTTATTTCTCCATAAATAAGGGAACATGATATTCAAAAGTCTCGATAACTTCGATTGTTCTATAGTTAAGGTCTAACTTGTGCTAAGCACCTATTTCGCTTATGAAAGTTCACTTTGTTACAATGAGTTTTAGGTCGGATTTAGGGAGAAACTACATTCGAGCATCACCTTTGCAAAGTGACAATAGTGGTTCCTTGAGACATTGTTTAGGTGATCATGTGGTTCTCCACTTGCCCATGTGGGATCATTTTATGTCACGTAGATCTATAAAAGTAACAACATAACATTCATGTACTGAGATCTGAGTCCTAATACAATGAAAAGGAAACAAGAATTCCTTCAAACCTAATGGCCAACTTTCTTCTACCCTTGTACAATATCACGAGTGTGTGCATAGTTTCGATCCAAAGCTGTTTCTAATATAAGTATAGCCTAACTAGTAACTATAAGAAGATTTCATCATTGAGCGTCCAGTACAACCAATGTCTATAAGACGAGTATCACGAATCTTCAACATGGTGATCCGTCTCATCAAATATCTCCTCCTGCGCAAAGCCAAGTTTAATTTAAGACACGAGTATGTCTGGCTAAGCTTTAAAAAGTTTACTAACTTATGAAATGAATAACTTTTTTGCTGGTTAAAGTTTCCTCAAGTTATCAACACATTTGGAGATAAAATTATTTAAAAAGTTATTTTTTATTTTCAAAATGACTTCTTGAAAGTTAGAATGGGACAGATTTCAAAATTCAGGTTTCAAGAGATGTAATAAACTGCACCTGTAAAAGCTCTTCAATAACGTCTTCCATGGTTATTATACCAACTGCTTCTTCGTCTTCAGGGAGCGTTGGCAGGGAATTTCCATCTATCTGCAGAATGTCTGAGTACATATTTTTCATCCACTTTCTGCTCCTAGGTGTATATGGACTGTTAGGGAAACTCTTCCATCCCTTCATAGGTCTTTTCATCTTTTTGCCTTTCTCCGAGAAAGGTTTCCCACCATCAATATCTATTCTCAAATCCTTAGCAGTATCTACACACAACGGCATGCAAAAACATACACAGAAACACACACAAAGAGAGAAGAAAGATAGTTATAGAGGGAAAGGATAATCAAAGATTAAGTACATGTTTGGTAAACAATATTAGAGAGCTAGACAACAAAATGGACTAGATTTTAGCTTCTCTTTTTATTTTTTTATTTTTTTTGCCTTTTCTTTATGCCTTCTACTAATTTCCAGTCTGCCTAACCATACTGTACCAAACATACCATAAGAGTAAAGCTTCAGCTAGCAAGGATAACTCACTGTCCGCATTGCCGTTGCTCTTTAAACTGCCTGCAGTAGCAGCCGGGTCCACCATCTTGTTGCACAGTTTTATAACAACAGCCATGTGACTGTGACCTTTCTGGAACTCGTTTAAAATGTCATACAATGGCCTACCTTCCTGGACCCTGTGAAATTAAGGGGTTGTTTGACAAAGCTTTTGATAAAAAACTTTTAGCAGATTTTGATAAAGGTTGATGTAATATGTGGTTGAAAAGTTGATAAAAGTTTTGGGTCTCAAGAAATGCATGGTTAAAATTAAAGTTTGACCAGTTGAAAAGTTGATAAAATTTTAGTTAAGTTCTATCAAAAAAGCACTAAACGTCAACAAGTTGATAGTTGATATCCTTAATGTTCCTATCAGACAGTATTATTTTATTATCACAATAAGGACGTATAAAAACCCAAGTTCTTCCATTTTATTCTACCGTGACTTAACATGGTAATGACAGAATCAAGACAAAGAACAAAATGTTTAGAAGACGGAGACACACACACTGCCTGTGTGCACATGATGTAGTTTGCAGTAACTGCAACAGCTAAAAGAACAATTTTGCTCTGACTTGGCGAATTCACGACATTACTCATAATAGACTTGTCATGAACATCCCTTATATCTCTAGCATGTCAAATAGACAAATGCATCAATTTCCTTTTCTTAATTCAGAATTATATACACACCTCAAGGACACTGGTCTCCCTTAATAAAAATTGAAAGAAACCTGCTACCTTGATGTAGCCAATAGCCATTATACATGCTCACAAAAAAATAACCCGGAAGTTTGTTTGTTTATCCCTTCAACTTTAGGATTCAAAATAGCCCACCCCATAGCTAGAAAAAGAAATTATTCTATGCCTAAATCATTTGTAAATGGTAGTAATATATATGTGAAGCAGATTAATCTTCAGCCTTTTGATTTAAGGAATTATACATTAAATAATAGACATTGAAGGTAAATACCTTAAATAAAAGACATTCAGAGGTTACCTTGGAATTCTTCGAATTGCAACGCTCTTCACGGGGACTTCATAATCTGGATTGATGGTTAACAAATTTTTTACCTACAAAGCCAGAAATACAATTAGCAAATCAGATGATTATAAATTAAATATATAATCTTGAAACACTTATTACAGTTACATCGACATTGCAGATCATGGAAATATGTTGTCATAAGGTCATTTGTCTTCTACACATCTTAGTTGTTTTAAATGATTAAACAATGAAAACCTGAAACCGAGTTTTTTCCTTCTTGGACTATATTTTCTTTACAAATTGGCCCCACATCATCTAATAGACCAACAAAAGACACTTCTATAAAATATCAGATGGACCATCAAAATCTTAATAAAAGGGATTGCTTACAATTTACAAAATACAATGGCTAATAAACCTTACACTTGGGTCTGCTACCCACACCAAATTTTTTCACATTCTCAGTCAAGTTGCACCAGACTGAGGACGTCGACAAATTCACACTAACAAAAAATCTTATTGCAATGTGCTCAAAAGTGAACTTCCCATAGTCATTTCCAGCTTACAACTGTCAAATGCTTTACTCGGTTAGAAATTGCAAAATTCATTGCACGCAGCTGGACTAGCATGCTTGTCCTTCTTTTAGAATGAGAGCACAACAAGACTGACCATAATCAATACTCACAAAATGTGGTCAAACAAAAGACACATCAATCTTATAGAATGGAAACAAATAACTTATCACTTGCCATAAACTACACAAAAAATGTAGAAAGGTACCAGAACAAGTCCAATGATGTTTGTAGGTTGCTCGTAGAAGACTGGCACTCTGCTATGCCCTTTCTCCAAAATTAGGTTTATCAAAAACCTATGGAATGACAAATGACAGCATGTTACCAACATCCGATAGCCAAAAGATCAAAGTTCCTTTAAAAGTCATCATTTGTAAAATTATGCACCACCTATCAAGCTTTGCATTTATATCAATTGAAAAGGTTTCAGTTATTGGAGTCATGGCATCACTAGCTGTTTTCTCAGATAATTCAAGTGCTCCGGCAATAATTGTTGTTTCATCATGTGTAAGTTCTCCACCTTTACCTGCCTGCTTACAAAAAATAGGTAGAATTAAGAAATTGACGTAAAATAGTCGAAATTAGTATGGCCGATGAATGGAAATTAGCCAATCCAAAGATATAATAGCTGCACGAAAAGTTTGTAACACCAAAACAAAATATTATAACCCTGGAGAAACAAAATAATTGAAGACGTGTAACCTACATACCTCATTGCCATGGAAACTAACAAGCGTTTTCAATTCAGCACGGCGAAACATAGCTCTATGCCCATCGCCTAGGAGTAAGTCTAACAGCTGGAGATTAAAGAAATGGGCATAGTTATGAGCTGATGCTTCTCCTAAGCACTGAGAACATAGAGCAACTTCTTTGAACAAAAATATACCTTGCTTATTGGATATGCAACTGGAAAACAGATCCAGACAAGGATGCGAACCACAGGGGCTACAGTTGCACCAATGGCAAGTCCATATCTGGAGCAAACAGATTGCGGTATGATCTGATCATGCCATAAATAACAATTAGTTCATGCAAACTCATGATTCAACTTTAAATATCAGATTAAAATGTAATCATTTTAAGAAAGATTGATAAAGCAAGTTAAACTCTGCATAGCCCTATCTCTCCAGAAACCTTCTCTAAAATTTGCTTCACTAGGTGCCTTTGCTAAAAAAAATTAAAAAAACCTTCTCCAAACTTTGTTTTAATAACCAATGTTTTAACAGATCAATAACGTGTTTTTTTTTTTTTTTAATAAAAAGCATAAGTAGAGTTTGAGCTTCGCTTACTTTGCAGTGAGCTTTACATTAGCCAAATGAAACCTAGCTCGAGTAGCTTGATACTTCAATATACGAAGATTATTATTAGCACAAGATTGATAGATTGACTAACAATAAAATTTGTTCAAGCTTGGCTTGTTACCTAGCCAGCCATTTTTAGAAGACTAGAGCAGCTTGGTACATTTTTTAACAGGGGAGAGAAGGATAGAATTGTCCAATTCAATCAAATTTTACAGCAACTTCCGCTAAATAAATTCCATACCTCACCAAACAAAAGTATTAGTGTCACGGAGATCAGGATAGCTCCCCAGGCTGTAGTTAGACTGTCGAGAAAAATTGGAAGTGCCTGCAGCCATGGTAGGGGGGTTAAAGTAATCAATCATGTTTCGTGTCCAATCTTTTTTACAACATTGTTGGCAACATTGGACAGTTACAAAAACAATTTATCTTTTCAACCAATACTTTTTTGACACATACAACATTGTCAAAAATCATTGTACAAATGGCATTGTCCTAAAGCAATAAATCATCTCCGAAATAGTTTTGACATTTAAGTACAACACATCTGGTGACGATACCTCCATGGCAGCAGCATTGCAGATAAGTAGGGTGCAAAGTAGTAAATGTTGATTCTTGACTACTGGCAATATCTTTGCTGTAATGAAAATGTATGAAAATTCCAATTACAATTGGAAAAGAATCCAAAAGCAGCAACATCAAAAGCTCACTCGGTTAATTAGTAGACATCACCTTAGGAAATCCTTAATTACTTTTGCATTATTCCAAATTTTCAAATGTTGGTTTACTCAATGTAAATAAAAACCAGTAAATTTTGTGCACACAAATAAAAGGCAAAACAAAATAGATTAAAAATAACTAAACATGAAAATTGACATCATTTAAGCCTGCAGGCATCGGTTCAATAATATCAAGGTGTTAAAACTTTTAGTTTTCCAGATTTTGAATTTTGAATATAAAAAACCATCTAGATTTTTTTATTTATCAGAGTAAGTGATACGGGGTTAGTACCAGATTCTATCAAGTGTAATATCATATATAATGAAGCTAAGAGAAGAACTATATTCAACTTCTTCTCAAATAACCAAAAAACAAATAATTATGCCAAATATACCACTTATATTTACAGCTTAAATTGAACTACTCCCAAATAACAAAATACATTTCCAAAACAACTGACAAAATTTCCGTCAAACATTTTCAGAACTTCTTCAAGAAAACAAAATAAATAACACAGCGCAAAATGATGATGCAGAGCTGCAATCAAATCCTTTACCACCCAGGACAAGGCCCGGGAATGCACCAAAAGCCTTACAAAATAAGCCAAAAGTACATAAAAATAAACTATACCAGCATATTTTTTGTCCTTGGGAATTCCGGACTTGGCAAGGACTTCAAGGTCAACAAGGCTTAAAGACATGAGGCCCAAAGTGAGCCCGGACATTAAGCCCGCAAAAACCACCAGAAAAACAATCACCGCAATACGAACAAAAAACTCTGTTTCACAGCATTTGTACTCTACCGCCATTAAATCACTTTTTCTGCCTTATCTTGAACTAAATTATGCTTAATCGAGGAGGAAGTAATGGGAAATTAATGGCAGAGAATACGTAGTAATTGGAGGGAATTGCAGGGGAGCTTTAATGGTGTAATCAAGCTGGGAATTATGGAGGGTGATGGTTTCATTAAAACTTGAGTTCTGGTGCGGTTCCAAGTCCTGCGGTTACGTACGTTACTGGATTGTGGGCCCCTGGTCCAATTTGGGGGGTTTTTGCAAGGGAATATAGCCTTGTTTGATTTTCATTACATTACATTACATTCTATTTTTCTCTCTCCTATTTTCAACCACACAATCTTCCATAAAATAATATTACACGTAAATCGAAAATTTTTCTTTCTTTTTCAACCACTCATTTTTCAAAACACACTATTCTATACATTAAATTTTCCCCGTAATGGGGGCCAAACAGGAGCATATAGCACATAATTCATGCTTCCTGGCTCCTGATTTCGAACGTTAAAGTATAGTCGACAGTTTAACTGCCCTTAAAAGTTGATTTTAAATATAAATAATACTTTTCTTAGCAAAAATT